CACAACAGATTATTTACAGAACCAGTCTTGTTCCAGCTCAGTTCTGGTAGCTTTATTTTGAATAAGAATGGATATCATAGGGTCACTGAGTGCTTAGTCACCAGGAACTGTAACTGGTTGGGAAGGATTAGGAAGTATGGCCTCCTTGGAGTAAGTGTGGCCTTTTTGGAGGAGATGTTTTTCAAGGTGGGCTTTGAGGCTCCAAAAGCTTACTCTAGGGTGACTCCGTCTCTGTCTCTCTGGCTCTGTGTCTCTGTCTCTCTCTCTCTCTCTATCAGGATGTAAATCTCTCAGCTACTACTCCAGCATCATGCTTGTCTACTTTCAACCATGAACATCATGAACTGATATAACCATCTGAAAATATAAAAAAGCCCCACAAATAATGCTGTATTTTTTAATTACTGTGGTTATGTTCTCTTCACAACAATTAAGGAAATAAGACACCAAATTATTATGAGTTCCTATTTGCAATGGTTATATCAAATTTGAGGATAGGATTTCAAAGCTCCACCCAATCTCTTAGTTCTTATACACTTTCTTGCCCCCTTTCCTCATTGTTCTCTGAGCCTTAGAAGGTGTTATATAGATGTCTTGTTTAAGACTGTCCTCAACTATCATTTATTTTCAGTGTCTTAGGTAGCATGGATCTCTATGTTCATCACTTTGGACTATAGTGTTTTTAAGGTTTGCTTTGTGGCCCGATCAATTTTAGAGACTTCATTTGTTGTATTCTCTGTCTGTTGCCTGGAATAGTATGTAGATATATGTGAATCCAATTGATGTGTATTATTAGGTCCATTGGTGGATTTTGAAGTTTTATAAAGGACCATCTAAAGATGAGAGGGAAATGGTGACTTTTCCCACTCTCGTTGTATCAGTACCTATATCAGTGTTTTGTTTTTGTTTTCATGACAATGAAGCTCCACCATTTGGTCTATTTGATGACTTGTTCCATTTATTAACAAGTATTAGCCCTCTTTATCCCTTGTGGCTAATTTCTTTTTTAAGTTTACTTTCATCAAATATGAGAATTACTACATCATTTTGTTCATGGCTGCCATTACATGGAAGGTTGATTTTCATCCATTGACTCTGTGTTTGGGTGTCTTTGCCATTGAACTGTTTGTTATTAGAGAGCACATGTAGTTGATTTACTTTAATCCACTGTGTGATTTTATATTGGTGAGTTCAGGCTATTTATTTATTTTTTTTATCACTATTGAGAAAGGTTTGCTAGTTCTTAGGATTTTGTTGGTTGTTCTGATTGGTTGGATTATTGGCAGCTAGTTTCTTTTTCTCATATTGATGTTAGGAATTTTCTGTTTTCTTACGTTAGACTGTTTCCTGGTTGTTCTTTCATACTGCCTCATCTGTATCCATATTTTATAAACCCCCTTCTCCTGTTGAATTCCAATGTTCTTTTTAGTCAGTCATATCAATATGTAGCTCTAGACCTCTTGCTTTGGTCTCACCTTGTGGGGGAGCAGGTTGGTGCTGGACACTTCAGTTCAGCCCATCTCACTTTTCACCACTGAATACTGTTTTGGCATCTCAAATGGGAAGATTTCATATCAGTTTAAATTTCAGGCAAAGATTTCAGAAAAACTGAAATATGAATCAATATTTGAGTGAATTTTAAACTCCATTCATATAGGTGTCTTTCTGATGTGTATACATATATATATGTATATATATTTTGTATATATATGTATATATATTTTGGGCTTTTTTTGAGACAGGGTTTCTCTGTGTAGCCTTGGCTGTCCTGGGACTTGCTCTATAGACCAGGCTGGCTTTTAACTCACAGAGATCCACCTGTTTCTGCCTCCTGAATGCTGAGATTAAATGTATGTGCCATCACTGCCCAGAGCAACACTAAAAAGGACACCAATATGGACTTCAGTAGCAGCCCAGCCCATGGACATCAACAAGGCCTCAGATGGCAGTGGAGGGCACAGATGTGGATTCATGGATCTATTGCAGCCAGACAACATGTTGATGACCATGACATATGTTACCACTGAGGGCCATTTGGATGTTCATGGGCTATTCAGCCTCATGAAGTCATGTTGATGTCCCTGGGCCATGTTAGAGACTTTGGCAGATTTTTAATTTTGCATACTTTCATGCATTTGTAACAGGGTATGTGCATATGAGTGCAAGTGCTTGTAGTGGTTAGGGAAGGGCCTTGGATCCCTTGGAATTACAGGCAGTTGTGTACATGTATATATGTATGTATGAACATCTATAAATACAACCTTCAAATCCATTTAGTGTAGCATGTATGCATATCTTAAAAGGTCCTACTTCTAGATGAAGAGCTACAAGTGATTGATGCCTGCTGAGAGTGAGAATGAGTTTAACATCATTGTCAATAATACAGTTTTGTACTACACACTTTCTTAGTATGGTTTTATCTATGCATAGTTTTGTTCTCTAATTGCAAATTTGTGTAGGATCTCTTTTGATGACTACTATGTTTTTTTTTTCAGCAAGCCAACCTGTAGCTCTTTCTACTGAAGATATAGAGACAGTTAATGAAGTTTCCAAATTGAGTATTGCTCATGAAATAATAGTAAACCAAGATTTTGTTGTAAAGGAGAAGGATTTATCTGAAAACAGGTACATATTCTTATTTATTTATTTATTTATTTATTTATTTATTTCCTAACTCATCTTGGAATAGTTACATAGCATAGATGACTTTTTGGTCATGCTTGATTTTTTTCTATTAAAACATGTAGTGCTTGATTAAGTCTGTCTTAAATAGTGAGATCCAGGGCAGCCATGGCTACACAGGGAAAGCCTGCCTTGAAAAAGAAAGAAGGAAAAGAAATAAAAAGTATTCAAGTGGAGATAAAGAAATGGCCAAGTGGCTAGAACCAGTTACTGCACAATCACAAGAACCTAAGTTCAAATCCCCAGAACCCACGTAAAATGTCTGGCATGGTGTTGTGTACCCATGCCCTATAACCCAAGCAATATGTGGGGCAGAAACAAAAAAATCTCCAAGCCTTGCTGGTTGCCACTCTGGCCCCAGGTTCAGTAAGAGGCCCTATCTCAAGAGAGTAAGGTATAGAGTGACAACAGAATAAGGCATCCAATACCCTTCTCCAGCCTCTATATGTGTATTGTAGAATACACACGCATATGTCACAGTCACACAGGGTCAAAATATTAAATTATATCTAAATACCAAATAAACCAATGTAATTATTGTCAGAATGTTAACTCTTGGTTTTTAGGAAGAAATTTCAGATTCTTACAGATAGACTTGAAGGTTATAGCTGCTAGAAGCTTCTCTTAATTCCATGCAAATTAAGTGGATGCAGATAAACAACTTTCTTTTTTCAATTTTAATTTCATTTTCTGTGTATGAGTGTTTTGCCTCCATATTTCTCTGTATACCATGTGTATGCAGTGCCCAAGAAAACCAGAAAAGTGTGTTGGATACCCTTGGGACGCAGTTACAGTGTGAGCCACCATGTGATTCTTGGTACTCAAACCCTGTCCTTAGAGATGAGAAGCCAGTGCTCTTAACCACTAAGCCATGTATCTCTCTAACAGCACAAACAACTTTTCTAATAATGATATTGCTGTTTGTCATAAGCAAGAAATTTCAGAGCATTTGTATGAGCCTTATTGGAGTTCTTTACAATTACTTTCATATTGAAATGCAGTAAGTATGTATTGAATTACTTTGATATTGAAATTCAGTAAGTATGTATTGAATGCCTTTAATTAATCATTAGCAGTTAAACGTGGCCTGGGGAAATGACTTAGAAGGTAAAGGTGCTCACCATTGAGCCTGACAATCTGTTTGATCTCTGGAACTGACTTAGTGGAAAGAGGGAACCAACTTGTACAATTTATCCTCTTACCTCCACACAAATTCTAGTGTTATTGAGCACTAATGAGTGCTCAATAAATGATTGTTACATGAGTGAATGGCAATGGAATTTCCATTAAATACTGGAAAGTAAATCCAGGAGAATAAATATAACTCTAGGGACTCTAGGGATTCTAGACTCTAGGGATTCTAGGGACTCTGAACTGAATGAAGAAAGTTCTAGAATACATGTATTTTGGTGAAAACTCCATTCATGGAAGGTGTACTTAGCATGCGTCTCTATTAGCAACAATCAGAATAAATACAAGACATATGAAAATCACAAGAACCAAGATAGAGCATGGTGCTTTAGTAGCAGAACCCCTAAAGTGGCAAAATAAAAGAGGCATTCAAAAAATTTAAAAGCTATAAAATAACTTGCAATAAAAAAGCTATAAAAATTGTGGCAAAAATACTCAAAAAGTATACTGTATTACTGTTTTCTTTTAACTCTTTATGCTTATTTCTTTCTCTCTCTCTCTCTCTCTCTCTCTATCTCTCTCTCTCTCTCTCTCTGTGTGTGTGTGTGTGTGTGCACGTGTGCACACAATATAAGTATATGTATGCCTGCAGGCAGAACATTGTATACATAATAAATACATCTTTAAAAAGAAATATAAATGATATCACACTTCTATGTTACATGCAGGATTAGGCTCAGAGAGTCCAAATCCAATTTTAGTTTATGATTCTTCTCAGGGAGGAGATGGGGGAGCGAAGTAGAGAAGAGCAGGCTTAGGAGAGAGAGAGAGAAACGGACAGACAGACAGATGCAGGAAGACTGAGAGAGAGAAAGAAATGGTCAGAGTCAGATATGTTGAGAAGGGGAGATAGAAAGAGAGACACAGGGAGAAACTGGGAGGAAGGGAGGGAACGAGAGAAAGGAGGGAAGCAGGGAAGGAGTGAGGATGGGGTAGGAGACAGACATTATTTTTAAATCTGAGAATAACTGGAGTTTATTCAGCACTTCTCAAATCTAAATGTAGCTCCTCTATGGCCTATCAGTTTAATGGTTCTTCATGATTTTAAACGCTGTTTGAGGGATCGTGATCCTGTATCAAGTCTCTAGGTAAAGACCATTTTGCACATTTAACTTTTTTTTTAATAGTCTGGAAAGCAAGTTTGTGGAGAAAATGTACAATGCATTTTGGGACCATTTGAAAGATCAGCTGTCAAGTACTCCTCCAGACTTTTCTTGTGCTCTTGAACTTATAAACAACATAAAACAGGTAAGTAGCCAGCCTTCTCTCTGTTGATACAAAGTTCCTAGACCTTAGACCTTGGATTATTAATATTAATATTACTAATGTTCTAAGTAGCTTACTTTATGAACACATATGAGATGGACTGACTTCTATTCTTTTTGTATGAGACATAGCTTGAATGTTAGGGCATTACTTTAATAACATAATGTGTCATTCAATAAAACATTTTCACTCAACTTCTGCTACATTTTAAGTACTCTAGAAGCACAGAAAATAATGTGAGCTCTTGCCCACAAAGAATTTACATTTTGAGTAAAAAATATATTCCAAGTGATGATTTAAGAATACCTTGCTTATTTCACCCTTGTTCTTTGAAGTAAAACAATCTAAAAATACCCTTAGCTTTTGTTGAGAATGCACCATCATTTTGTACAGGTGCATATATTGTAATAATCTACACTTAATTGTTGTCATACTCTTATTTTTAATTCATGTTTTTATATCATTCTGCCTTGAAAATCACCAGTACTGCTATGAATGATTTTGGTGAAGCCTAGAATTATAATTGTGTTCTGAAAAAAAAAAAAAAGAAATAATTGTTTATGAAATTTAGAGTACCACTTTCTTGGCCCCTAGAAGACAAAGTCTGACATGCCTTTAGCCTGAAAGCAGTGCTCATTGGGTGTAAGTTTAGGACTCTAAACATAATGTGGCTCCTTTGATTTTTCCTTTGTGGCAGATTTTGGTATCACTGCTATTACCACGTCAGAACCGTTTAAAACATGAGATTGAGGAAGCGCTGGACATGGATCTTCTAAAACAAGAAACAGAGCATGGGGCTCTGGATGTTCCTCATCTCTCCAACTATATTCTCAACTTGATGGCCCTCCTGTGTGCACCGGTTAGAGATGAAGCTGTACAGGAGCTAGAGAGCATAAAAGATCCAGTAGAATTACTGAGGCAAGAATCTAGTCATGTTATTTTAATCTATTTTCTCTTGTTAATAACATGATATCTCAGGGCTGGAGCGATGGCTCAGAGGTTAAGAACTTTGGCTGCTCTTCCAGAGGTCCTGTGTTCAATTCCCAGCAACCACTTGGTGACTCACAGCTATCCATAATGAAATCTGGTGCCTTCTTCTGGCATGTAGGCATACATGGAGGCAGAATGTTGTTTACATAATAAATAAATAAATAAAATGTCTAAAAAACAAAACACCAAAAAAAATTCCCACAAACAATAACGTGATATCATAGCATGGATAAATTATAAAAATATTTAGTTTTGCTCTGGTCCTAGAAGTCCAAGGGTGAGGTGCTTCACCCAGTGAAAGGTTTGATGTTGATGGAGTCTCAAGGTGATACAGAGCACCCAATGATGAAAGAAAGAGCCTGTGTGTGTGTCCTGCTTTTCCTATGATTTTGTGAAGTCACAAGTTTTCAATCATATGAGCTTTAGCCTGCTGTTCTTGTGTAATCCTGGTGATGGTCTAATGGCTTCATCCATAAACTCCATACTTGGATTAAGTTTTCCAACCTCTCAGTATCTCGCAGTTGGATTTAAAATTTCCTCATTTTGGAACCGCAAGCTATTTTCAAACCATAGCATGCACTGTTCTTGAAATCTACCTTGTGTGCCACGAAAAATCTTTGAATCAGATGTTATGATAGACCTCTGTCTTAATTGTTCTACTCCTGTGCCGAAGACCTGATTAACTCCATTTTTCTACTTTTTTGTTTTAAAAAATTATGTATTAATATTTATTTCACTTTATGTGTATGAACATTTTGCCTGCTAAAATGTATGTGTGTGCACCATGTGTATGCCTAGTACTTGTGATGGCCAGAGGAGGGTGTTAGATCCTCTGAATTGGAGTTTGTGTGTTTGTGATCCCCTATGTTACTACTAGGAATTAATTCACTCCTCTGCAACAAGTGCCTTTAACAGCTGAGGGATCTCTCCAGCTTCTGTTTTATGCTTATTATCTTTTATTATCCCTCTTCCAGTCCTGCAGATTCCCTTCTTCCCCATTATTCCTCTTCTGATGTTTGTGTCTGATTTTATGCAGGGCGTATGAAGGCAGCTGCTACTGCTGTGTGTTCATGATTACAATAGACTTGCCAAATCCAGATGTCAGCATTTCCTAGCATTCCTCTTTATCCTTCAGCTCTACCAACCTTTCTGCTCTCTCTCCTGTGATGTCTGCTGGACCATGGAGAGGGTGATATATATGTCCTATTCATGTCTGGAAACAAAACAGCCGCTCATTCTTAGCAATTTGACCAGCCGTTTGTCTCTGCATTAGCTGTTATGCAGTGTACAAAGCTGCTTCTATGTCCCAAGCGGAGAAGCACTACTAACATCTTTTTAATTCCAGGACATTCTCTCTGGTTTATTTTGATGCCATCTAAAATGGTCATTTGGATTCCATCCATTACATGAAAACTTAACATGATACTCTTATGACATTTAAGTATAGTACTAGTTTTATAGATTTCCACCCATCCCTTCTCAAATATTCTTCTCGTTCTCCAGGTCTAAATTCTATGCAGAAACAGAAGTGAAGACTCTCAGTGTTTCACAGCTAGAAGACAAGAAAAAAATGATTTGTTTATGAGTTGGAAATTAATCACTCGCATTGTAACCTCCCATAGATACTTGTTAGCGCTTTGATTTTCCCTTCCACTGACCACCCTTTTATTAACATAGCAGAATAGCTACAGTGCCAAAAACTCTAGACTGGTTGTTGAAAGGACAGGCTATATGTCTGTTTTTAGCTCTACTATCAATTCACTCTCTGACCTTTGGTCCTTGGATGGTGCATTTATTTTTGTGGAAGCCTGGTTTATAAAATAGCTTTTTTAAAAGGTATTTCAATAGTCTTGGTCAGCCTAACCTCCATAGTTTTAATGGGTCCATTTTGTATGAGAAATGGTTATGAATTCAAGTCTCTCATTTGCAGCTTTTTGCACTGAAAAATTCTGCAGTGCTGGAGTCTTGGAGGCTACCCTGCAGCTCCACTAGACATTGCCATATGTGTGATACTCTTTCTCAGCTCTCTACCTCTATGGAAGATTTCTGCGTAGGCTCCCAGAATGTCTCATATCAAGGCAGAGACTGTTATTGCTTCATAGCTCGTGTATTCTTATGCTTGTATAGTTAGTCCCACAAGGGTGCTGTTAAGTCTTCCATTGTCTTCTCCAGATTTTCACTGGATTCACAGTCCAGCTGAAGATACACTTCAGCTTGTTTGCCCTATAGTAGTGTTGATTGAGGGACACTAATGCAGAAATTCAAGGAGCAGAATTTTTAATTTTCTTGGGAAGCAAATGGAGACATCTTTGGGGTGTGTCTTTATAATCTTACGTAAAGGTCCTTACTTGCCTTGAAGATCTTTGAAATTCATTGGGGAGATTTCCCAGTGTCTTTATGAACAGCACACTATTTCTTTCTATCCATATTAATAATCACTTTAGAAAAAGAATTACTTGGTTACATTTGGTTTGTTCTTGATGACTTTTTACTACTTACATTGCCAGGCTTTAATTTTCCAAGTTATTCTGCTCTCCTCATGTTTCAAGTCTGAACTTCATCTTTAAATCATTTTTCTTTCATGTATTTCTGAACATGATTAAAAGTAGTCACGTAACTCCTTCAGCATTATGCTGAGAAAAGTTTCCCCCTAATATCTTAGGCTATTGACCTTAAAACTTCTATAAAGTATTTTGAATATTATGAACACAAATAAATTCAAGGTATTTGCTAGTTCATATCAAGGATGACTTTATTCTACTTTCCCACAAGATAAGCCTTTATGTTTTCGAGTAAGACTCTTTATTTTCCTTTGAAACTTCATTATAGTGGCCTTCGGTATCTATTTTTTTCAAACAACATTTTGACCATGAATACTTTAGGAGTGTCCAAGAATATCAGACATATTACAGATATTCTCTCTCACCTGAGTCATCCTCTATACCCCATTCACATCAACCTTTTTTTTTGAAAGAAAATGTTTTATTTTATTTTACAAATCCCAGTTTCCTCTCTCTCCCATCCTCTCATGTTCCTCACTGACCCCCCTCTATCCCACCTCCATCCACTCCCTTTCAGTGAATGAATGTCCTTTCCCTAAATCTTTGCCAACATTATTTTCTTTTGTGATACCCATTCTTACTTGGGTGAAATGACATCTCAAAGTAGTTTTAATTTTCAGTTTGGGTGTTTTGTAGCGTTTTGTCTAGACAGTGTTTGGCTTTGTAAAGACCATTTACCTGTAAATATTTATTAGGTGTTCATTATATGGCACATCAACCTATTTTATGGCCCATTTCTCCAAGCTCATTCAGATTCTGCTCATTTCCAACATTTGCAGGTATTTGATAGATAACAGTCCTAATTTTCAGTATTAATTTTTTCCCTTAGTCTATTTTGTTGTGCTGTAGCAAAATACTGAAGTTTCAGTCACTTCTAAAATGCACAGATGTATTTCTTAGAGTTCTGGAGGAGGTAGCATTTAATATGGTGTAACTGCATGAGGACATTTTAAATACATTCTAACATGATGGAAACCATTACCGTGTCAAATAGAGCAACATTAAATTCTTTTCTTTCTTTCTTTTAATTTTTTTTGGGGGGGTTGGTTTTTCGAGACAGGGTTTCTCTGAATTGTTTTGGAACCTGTCCTGGAACTAGCTTTGTAGACCTGGCTGGCCTCAAACTCACAGAGATCCATCTGCCTTTGCCTCCCAAGCCCTGGGATTAAAGGTGTGCACCACCAATACCCAGTGCAACATTAAATTCTTAGTTGCATGGTCTTTTATAATTGAATCCACTTAACCTTAATGACATAAACACCTCTATTAGGTTCCCAACTCAAAGCAACTAAATACTTTTTTTGGAGTATATGTTCAAATACTAGCTGTTTGTAATTGAAGTAAGTACTTTACAGGCCTGTTCTTGGTCTACTGGGGTTTTATTATTCCTTCCTTGAGCTCTACTCCTGAACACTGGATTTCCTTTCAAACTGTAAATATTCTGTTTTTGTCTGCGACAGGGGCATCTTCCATGTTCTTGGCCTGATGAAAATGGACATGGTGAACTATACCATCAAGAACATTCGGCCATACTTGCAAGAACATTCTGTCCAATACGAACGAGCTAAATTTCAGGAACTCCTTGACAAGCAGCCTAGTATGTTTAAATTTTAAGTAGAGGGGGAAATTGGCCTTTGATCGTTTTGCACAGTGATTTTCTCTTTTGGAATAGAAGGTGTACTTCTTGGAACAAGAGTAGAGAAGCAAACTTTTCTAAGACAGAAATACCCATACACATTACCTTTAAAAATTAAGTTTGTCCTTTGACAATGTTATACATGTACACAGTGCAATCTGATCACCCCTAACCACAGTCTTCCTTATGCCCCCAACATCCACAATTTCCCCTTCAAAGAATCCCCTATCCTACTTTCCTCTCTTTTTGTCTTGTGACCACCTGAGTTTGGAGATTACTCACATCATCATGGTTATGGAACCATCCATTGGAGTAGGAACAACTCACTTGGTGGTCCATCATTGAATGACTCCTTCCCACTCCCAACAGCCACCTCCAGGTAGCTCCTGGAGAACAGCACAAGCCCATGAGCCCCTCCCCTCCCCGTGACTGGGTTTTAACAGACCCCATCTTATGCAGACTTAGTACAGCTTAGCTATCTCAGCTGCTTTGAGATCACAACTGCAGTAAGTGTGCCATGTCCAGAATATAACAATTCACCACCCTCCTTATTGTCTTCACACTTCTGTACTCTTTCTGTCTTCTATGGTATTCCCTGAGCCTTGGAAGGGGTATGATAGATTTTCTGTTTATAGCTGAGTGTACAATACTTATTCTTAGCACTTGGAGCAGCCACAAATCTTTGCACTAATTTCTATTTGCTTCAAATAGAAGCATGTCTGATCAAGGCTGAGAACAACACATGGGTATGGATATACATATTTAGATCTAGTTTGACAATATTTTTATTTAGACAAATGAAGCAATAGGTTCCTCTCTAGGGACTATGAACTCCTCAGACACGGGTCTTTGCCAGGCTCACAAAGCCAGGCATGAACTCTCACCTATGGAGTGGTTCTCCAGTTTTATCAGAAAGCTATTGATTACCCCTATATTGGTCATGTTGACATTGCACTAGTTTGCAGATGTTGCCTAGAATGTTGGTATTGTGGTAAACAAGGTCTACAGGTTGGTGGTGAGTTTCCTAGCAGATGGCTGCAAAGCACCTTCTTGAACTGTGAAAGCCATTCTGGAAGGGAATGCCTTGTTCTGTTCCAGCTTTTAAAATGACTGCTTTCTTCACCAAGAGACTATCTTAAAGTCTCCGACTTGAAGCCTTGCAGTGTTAAACATATATGTTCCCTTCTCTCATAGATTTCCTTGATTGTACCACCAAATGGATGACTAGAGCTGCCACTGATGTTACTACACCACTGCCAAGTACATCTATGTCTCCGAGCTCCTCTTCTGGCACAATAAGTTCATTTCCATATTCAATAACTAACCTAGAGCCACCTAGTCTAACAACAGTGTTATACCAAGGCTATCTAAACCTTGTTCTCAGGGACTATGGGAATGAAGAATTCCCTGAGGTACGAATGTTGTTGAGGCATCACCTTGTTATCTTTTACTTAGAAGCTCCATTACAACTCTCCTAACAGCATATTCTTTCTTGTCTTAGACTCTGCTGATGGATAAAGCACGGCTGCAGATCATGAAATCCAAATTACGCCACTTGACCATTCTAGCTTCAGTTTTACTTGTGGCAAGAAGTTTCTCTTGTGGTGTTTTATTCAGCTCACCAGAATTTGTGGATAAACTGAAGTGTATAACTAAGGCTCTAACAGAAGAATTTAGCTCCAAGTATGTTTCATTGATCTTTCCGTGTGTGTGTGTGTGTGTGTGTGTGTGTGTCTTTCTCTCTCTCTCTCTCTCTCTCTCTCTCTCTCTCTCTCTCTCTCTCTCTGTGTGTGTATGGATGCATATCAACATGTATGTACACAGTCATTTATCCGTGGAAGTGTGTACACATGTCAAAGCCAGAAGTCAACTACAGAGGTATTGTTTTTGAAACATGATCACTCATTGAACTTGAAGCTGACTAATTAAGCTAGGCTGGCTCGGCAGTAAGTTCCAGGGAGCCACCTGTCTATACCTCGATAGTGCTTACAGCCATGCTGCATAACTTTTGACTTTTTGTGTGGTTACTGTGGAACCAAGCTCAGGTTTTCATTCTTGTGTGGCAAGCATTTTATCAAATGAGATTCCCAGATTTCTCATAGATTTCTTTTAGAGTGACATTTAGTTCATAGACAGGCATCCCATTATGCTTCACACAAAGGCCCTTTGTAAACCAGATCACAAAAGATTGTTGGCATTTTAGGTTTGGCATAATGAAGAATAATAATATACCAACCAGAAGGAGAATAAGGTGGCTACTTTGCTGCAAATATTAATTATTAATTATTATGTTTTCTACTAGTGAGACACTATATATTTCATCAAAGGACAGTGGAAATTTGTTATTTATAGCCAGAAGTTTATCATTTAATCATTAATATTGATTGATAATTCAAAAGAGGAATTAGAAATTTAGTTTTATTAGTTTATTTGCATTTTGGCAAAGTAAGAAGGAATACTACATGAAATATCTAAATCTTTCAACAATATTTTAATGTCCAGGATGTAACCAACCATTGCCCAATATATATTGTTCCATTTAAAGTTAGCATATAGTACTACACATGAATAATTTGGCACCTTAATGATAATAACAGAATTCTTTTACATGCTCATTGATTCATGTTGTCTATTGATGGTGAGAAGATCACAATTCTTCTTGGGTATGCCTAATTTCTAGCCTGGAGCCTTTTGGGTTTGGTCCCTATGTTAGGGAAACTCTGTTTTCTGTCCTCACTATCCAGGCCAGAAGAGTCTATGCTCAGTGTCAGTGACCAGATATCTCAAGAAATCCATCAAGGACTCCAGAACACAGGCCTCACTGCTTTGAGCAGTGAAAATAGGGCATCTCTTGTAGGCCAACTCCGGAACATTGCCAAGAAAGAGAACTGCATTCGTACCATCATTGGTAAGAGTCTCTAAAGTGGTAAGAAATAGAAATAACTGCCAGGTAAGAGTTAAACTCTTCTCCACACTTCCAAATCCTTCTCATCCTTTCAAAGAGTTTCACTCCTTGGTGAATAAGCATTTAAATGTATGAGGCTATGGGGCCCATCTTATTCATATCACCACATCCCACTCCCTGTCCCAGACAGGTTTATAGCCATATCATCATGCAAAAAGAAATCATTCAGTCCAACTTCAAAAGCCCCCATAGCTTATCACACTCTCAACACTGTGTAAAAAGCCCAAAGTTCAAATACTCTGAGGCTTGTGACAATCCCTACTGAAACCTCTTGTAAATTCAAAATAAAAAAGCAGATCACATCCAACATATAATACATAATATACATAACTATTCCAAAACTGGGGCAAAGGAGCATAGTGTGGAAATATTGGATCAAGGCAACTCCAAAACCCAGCATGGAAAACTCTAAATTCTGCATCTCTGCATCTGATGTCAGAGTACTGTTCAGATTTCAAACTCCTTTTAGTTTGCTTCTCTCTCTTGAGACATCCAGTCTGCAGCTTTCCTTGGTAGGTATCACAAGACTCTGGCATCTCCAACATAATACAAGCTTCACCTTTGCAGCTTCACACAGTAGCCTCTCCAGACTACCACTCAGGGTTTTTCCTGCTACACCCTTGGCCTTAGTGGCTTTCCATAGCTGGGGAAGAAGATTGTACAACTTTTTTCTTGAATTCCTTGACTCTAAAGCTAGAGCTAGGGTCAAGTTGCCAAGTTCTGTGGCTTTCTGGGGCTGGAACAAGGTCCCCTCCTACAATTACATGTGCATCAGATTTCTGGTTTGATGGTTCCTTCACTGCTTAAGCTCTCCTTTTATTTCTTTTCACAAGTTGAAAGCTTAGCTGGGTAGAGTCTTGCTCTGAGGTCACCGCTCCCTTTATTTCATTTAGCATCAGGCTTTTCTTTAAATATCTTATCTCAGCATTGGGCTTAGCTCCATTACAATTCTTGGTGTTCCTTTTCTCCCCAAACTGTACAGTTTGTATTTTTCCTTGTTTATCTCATTCCTTTTCCTTACAGACCTGCATGAAAGTGACCACTAATAACTCTGTTGTGTAAACAGAGTCAATACTAGGTCATCTTAAAAATCTCTTCTGCTAATGACATTAATCCATTAATGTCATTTTAGCTTAAAGAAGATTTTTAGGACAAGGTCAAAAATATCACAAAAATAATCTCTAGGTTACTTACTAATATTCTTCCCCATATGAAACTTCTTGAGCTGGGCCATCATAATTAAAATTGCTCTCAGCACTGCTGTCTTCCACATTCTTACCAGTATGACCCATTAAGTGGTGCTTAATATGCTCAACTGCTTTATTTTTATTTATTTTTTACATTGTGACTAGATTTCCCCCCTCCTCTCCTCCCAGTCCTCCTCTCCCTCCTTTCTGTCCCCCCATTCACTCTTCCTCCACTTCTATTCAGAAAATTGCAGGCCTCTCATTGGTACCAACAATGGCATATCACGTTACAGTAAGACTAAGCATCTCTTCTCATATTAAGGCTGGACAGATCAACCTAGTAATAGGAAAAGGTTCCCAAAAGCCAGCAAAAGAGTCAGAGGCAGTCCCTGCTTCCACTGTTAGGAGTCCCACAAAAAGATCAAGCTACACAACTGTAAACATGTATGCAGAGGGCCTAGATCAGTCAGTCTTTTGCAGGCTCCATGGTTGTCAGTTCAATATCTGTGAGCCCCTATTAACCCAGGTTAGTTAATTCTGTGGGTTTTCTTGGGGTATCCTTGACCTCTCTGACTCCTACAATCCTTTCTCTCCCTCTTCTTCAGGATTCTCCAATGTCTACCTAGTGTTTTTCTGTGGGTCTCTGCATCTGTTTCTATCAGTTGGATGAAGCCTCTCTGTTGACAATTAATCTAGGCACCAATCTAAGAGTATAAATAATATCATTAGGCATCATTCATTACATTGACTTTTCTTTCCAGTCATGTTTGGTTCTATCCTAGGTCTCTGGGCCATCCAGTCCTGGTGCTTCAGGCAGTGTCAGCGGGGGGTGGGGGGGTGGGGGTGGAAGGGGACTCACTCTCATGGCATGGGTTCAACTGCTTTCTTAACCCAAAATCCAAGTCTATACCACAAGCAACAGCATGGTCAGGCCTGTCATAGCAATAACCCATTCCCCAGGACCAACTTCTGTCTTAGTCACTGTTCTATTGCTGTGCAGCAACACCATAAGTAAGGGAAACCTTATAAAAGAAAGCAATGAATTGAGGTTTGCTCAGAGTTTCAGAGGCTTAATCCATTATAACCATGGCAGGGAGCATGGAAGCAAGCAGGAGTGGTGCTGAAGAAGTAGCTTAGAGTCAGTACTGATGTGCAAGTGAGAGACAGAGACTGGAATTGGCATGGACTTTTGAAACGTCAAAGCCCATCCCTAGTAACACACTTCAACAAGGCAACAGCTCCTAATTCCTCTAATACTTTCAAACATTTCCATTTCCTGGTAACTAAGTATTCAAATATATGAGTCTATGGGAGCCATTCTTATTCAAACCACCACACTGAAAAAAAAATGTAAAAAACAAAACTTTTGAGAGCAGACAGTGAATGGTGTTTCTTCTCAAACCTCTTTTTTCCCTTTTCCTTTTCTTCCCTATGGCAGAACAACGGATACATTTGTTTCTTAAATGCTGTTTGATTCGAGGCATGCAGGAATCTCTTCTAGACTTCCCCGGAGGACTTCTTTTCATTGAACCAGAGTTGGCAGAACTAGGCTGGAAATTCGTTAATTTGATGCATCACAACCAGCATGTATTTAGTCCATACTATGCTGAGATCTTAAAAAATATCATCTCTCCACCGAAAGCAGAAGAAAATGAAGAAAAACCTATCTGATACTGTTGGTTCCGAGTCCTGGCATGAGGAATCTGGAGAGGGCTTATCATACTCCCAGAATGACATCATTTGTAGCCAACAATTACAAGCAGCACTCTTCCTCAGTAACAGTCAGGATGATACTGCAGGGGTCAAACATATAAACACCCAATGGCCCAATCCCCTTCATTAATAAATTCCTGAGCTGCAAGAAAACCTCAGTGTCTTTTATGATTCAGCTATAACCATGTCTCTCTCACCTTCCCCCAACTATCAGAAAAACCAGTGGGCTCTCAATTTTCTCTGCAATGGCAGGCCAGTTTTCAGTATGGTAGCTTGGACTGGTGTCAAGTAATGGTATTAACATTATTGTCTTCAGTTTAAAAAAGTTTCCTTGAGTGGTACAAAAAAAATCTACTGGATTATAAAATAAAAGGGAATACAAAACAACAAAACAGCAACACTGCTACTAAAGTCTCCTATAAATTTAAAGGATACCATGATAATATTACTGCATCCTATTTTGGCATATGGTTTGTAGCATCATGAAAGTTAGAAAAGGATGAAAGTTGCTTCTATCTGCTTACATTAAACAACAAACAAAAACAAGATTTAACTACCACAGGGATTCTCTCTCTAAAGTGATCCTACAGATTGAGATTGCTGTCCCCGACAGTGACCCACACTTAATTTGTATTAAGTATACTCTTGTTCCTGTTATAATGATGTGTCTGTTTCCATATCTCTAGGCTTTGAATATCTTATTTTTGAATGAGTACTGTGAGTATTCAAAGATACTACAGTCACTGTGCTTTTTGCCACTTTTGTTCTTGGGCTCTTAAGTACTAGTTATGATCATTGGCTAAACCAGCATTACAAATATTACAGGTTCACAAGGACTTTAGTTTATTTTCTAAGATTGTATTCATTATGTCATAGTCAAGCAAAGTAAAACAGTTACATAGAAAATTAGAAAAAGGTGAGATTTTTGGCATGGAATCGATTAGAAGGAAAAAAAGGAAAACAAAATTGTACTTACAGGATATCCCAATTCTGAGAAAGAATGTCCTTACTGTTTCTCAGGGTGGGAGGACTGAATATAATTTGATTTATTCAAGAAAAATAGATGGGATTTGAGTTCTCCTAGAGCCTTGATGACCTAATTGATTTCTCCAAAGCATTGATTCCAACTGGGTGACATAGCCAATTGAAAGAGTGATGGACTTTTTATTCAGATTAAATATTAACATACTATTATATGGTACAATACTGTAATTCACTATTAAGATACCATTATATGGTGCATATTGTAATTCAATATATGCTTATAATGTATAATAATAAAATTCAAGTAGTGTGCATTTCCAAGCCTTCAACAATTATTTTAAGTGTTGGAAATGTCGTAATTTTCTAGTGATTTAGAGATATAGATTGTTTCAACCAGTAGTTACTTGAGTATGGTAAAGAATCAGATTTCTACCCTCCATTTTACATGTGTTTTATTGCACCTAATTGAACATTATTATTCCCCCAACTTCATATTCCAAGTCTCTGTTCAGAGACAAGTATTCTATTCTGTTTTCCCACGAGAATGGTTTATTAATTACTGAGAATGAAAGGTAATAATATATGGTATTTATCTTTCTTTGTCTGGTTTATTTCACTTTGCATAATGATTTTTTGTTCAGGCCATATTGTTGAGAATGACAGGATTCATATCAGATAAAACCAATTTATAATAACAAAATATAAAAAGAAGCAACAAATGTCATTATAAATTATTAAAAGATCAATTCATCAGGAAAGAATAACAATTATAAAGATGAATGCCCTCAGTATGGGACCAAACAAATATTAGATGTAAAAGGCAAGAAAGATTTGAATACAATAATAGCTGAGGACTTCAATATTGTACTTTCTTCAGTTGATAGATCATTTAGACAAAATCAATGAAGAAATATAATGAGCCATACTATAGAAAAATGAATGGAACAGATATTTACAGAACACTTCATTCAACAACAACATACTAAATATTTCTTTTCATCATTACAGTTAAACTCTTTTTTTTTTTTTTTGATTTCTTAGTAGTGGCTACTAAAAGTGTTTAATCTTGACTGGTTTTTAAATGCTTACTCTTTAAAAAAATATTATTTACTTGATTATTTGGGTATATCACATCCTGCTCCCAGATTGTACTCAGCTCTCAGACTTTCCATGTCCACCCCCTTCCCCACCACATGACTCCCCATAAAACAAAAGTCCATTTTCTGTTTTCTATATATTTACTGGTGCATGAGCAAAACTAGTTGCTAGTCCCTCACCGGATTATGAGCCTTCTCCACCAGCATCTGTGCCAGAAGCCATGAGCTGAGGAGAGCTGTGTAGCTGCCACCAAGTGGCAGGCCCGTTTTCCCACAGTGGACAATGTGGTGATATCTTGCTTGTACAAATACAGTCTGTCTGGGGGGAGGGGGTCAGAGAACAGAGCTTGCCACTTGCTAACCATAGAGGTATGGAGGTCTATATACACAGGAAGTGAGGTAGCTGGGTAGAAACAGGATATAAGCAGAAAGAAACAGGAAAAAGATCTCTTATCTGCTGAGACACTAAGGAGGTAAGGTGTAGCAGTTGCTTGCTCCTTTTTTTTCTCTGATCTCTTAGCATTTTCTTCTATATCTGATTTCAGATATTTATTATCTAGACCAATCAAGAATTCCATTTACATTTTGGAGCTCAAAATTGGGCATGAACCCACCACCCTGAGATTAAGGGTCTCATGCCTTTGGTGGTAACATGGGCTGTAGACATCAACATGTATCAGGACCACTGACCCACTCATGGCCCTCATAGACCTCAAGCTCTGCATAGACCTCAAGCCTCAACATGATCTCAGTTGGTTGCATATGCCATTCACATCAGTATGGCTCCCTGAGGCAGCAAATCCTGAGGAAATCAATAAGACATCAGGCAGTGGCACAGACTGTATGTGTCCACATGGATTTCAGGCTTCATCATGGTTTGGGGTAACAGCATGGACCACCAACACCACATGGACTCCAGTGGTAGGTATTGAGGAACCTGGTAGTCCTTTGAAGAGGTTCAATCCAGAAAGTGACCCTTTCTTTATATCAGGCATCCCTGCCATTGCCCAGAGCCAGGGAGATCCCATGGCTGGGTGGCAATTTCAGGGGCAAAGTCTGTTGTATCTGCACAAGCTCCAGGCTGTTGTACACCATCCTGCAGACCCTACTGGGCAATGACAGCATACCTCAGCCCTCTCTCACCTACAACCACCATTATGTCTACAGTTCCACCTATCTACCTAGTGCATGCACTGCTCTGTTTTTCTATCTCTCCAACCTCTCCATCACATATTTGATCATTATAGTAGCACCAACCCATCAACCCCAGGTTACAGCACTGGAGTGATGATGCTTCAGTGTCTTTTGCCCACCCAAGCAGCACATACTTAAAAAAAAAAAACCTGGGTCGTTTGTGATAATTATTTTGTCTCTTTGTTCATCTAATGTGTTAAATTACATGCACACATATATACACACACAATAAAGAGAAACAGGTGAAAATTATTAAAGTATAAATACTGCACCTCAAAGCAAACATCAACAAGCTTTGGAATATAAGATCAAGAATACACTAAGTATGATAGAAAATCATCAATGGACCCATAAGCAGACCTATTGAGAACCTATAAGCAGAATCAACCAAAAGTACATAACTCATAGGAACTATGATGTAAACAGTGTCAGGGAATTGTGGAAACATAATAAAATGGCTAAGGTTTAATTATTTAATTGCTACAGGAAGAATAGAGTGTAAGAGTATGATTTAGGGCATTGGGAAGAATCTCAGAGGAGTTTGGGGAGAGGAATAACATGATAAAAAACATATTGTTTGGAAAACATTTAATTTTAAAATAATCATTTTAATAATAACAGTTTAACATTACCAAAATAAAAAGAGAATGGAAAGAAAAAACTGAACTCAAAGAAACTGTTCTTGTAAAGTCTAAGAGCTGAACTAATGAACAGGAAAGATAGAGGTACTCATATGTTCAGTTAGCAATATAACAGTAGTAGGTTCCCCCTTGGAGCATATGAGCTGCTGAATCATGGTTTCTTAGTGGAATTTACTTATATTAGGCTCTTTTCACCTCTGGTATAGACCCAAAACCCAACCAGAAAGCAGTTGGTCATCACAACAGTATTTGTGCCAATATTCCACCTGTGGGCAATAATAGTTGATAGGGTTCACAACTGGGTAAAACAGTTGGCTACCTTTCTCTTTCAGCAGACTAAAGAAATGTCAGAGTCGAGGTTGGGAAGGACCAGAATGACACAGTGTCTCCTTGGCATGACACGACAGAAGTACTCAATGAGTTCACAGAAACTGTGGTTGCCTGCCCAAGATCAGACAAGTCCCTTTTCTGCTTCCCTGCCCCAGTGTAGGGAACCATGGAGTTGGCTTGGCCTAGCTGCCTTGAGAAGCATGCATCAAAGGTTTGTCAGGTTAGAGTCCATAACTCCAGGGGCACAAGTTGCTTTTCAGTTCCCGAGGGACCAATGCACTCCCTCAGGCAGTGAAGCATTCAGACTGCTTTGTATTTCTCTGTATGTTCCCTTAGTAGTCAAGGAAGAATGAAGGCTTGACAGGACAATTGATCTTAGACATTAATCGTGTGTACCCTGTATGGCTTGCAAACTTCATTGTATCCTGACAACTACAATTGTATTGATGCTGGCAATTGCCAGTGTCTGATAAAGTTACAAAACATCTGATTGCTCTCAATAAAGTTGTCATAGTCCCAGTCTTGCAGTGGCCCCTCCATCTTAATCCTGGCTTTATTCCTCATAACCATATCAGGTGACCCTGGTTGGGATAGTAACAGCAGGCACTTATACCTCAAACGTCTAATAAATCTTTCCTTTACTTCTCCCCAACAGTGCAGGAGTTCCTTTCCTCCATACATCTGACAGTCATACAATAAAATCACCTGGAAGAAGTCAGATTGTTTATCAAACCAGTTTCATAATAGCAGTTTATGGTTGTCACTCCAGAAGGGAATAATGAGAATGGATGACAGA